GGGCTCCGCGGCGGGCGCTTCAGCCAGGGGCGCCGGCACCTCGGCCGCTCCGTCGCGGGGCCGGAAGAGCAGCTCTCCCGACTGGATCACCTGCTCCGCTTGCCAGGTGGTGGCGGCGCCGTATTGCTGGTAAAAGTCCGTGTCGGCCTGGAACATGACGAGGGCCTGGGCCGTGTGGATGCGGACGTGCTGGGCCAAGCTGTTGGCATCCAGGAATTTGTCCCCGCACGAGTCGCAGGCGTAGAGGATCTGCGTGTTGGGGTCTGCAGGGCACAGGAGATGCCAGGGGAGCCGCCTGCTTGTGTGGGCAGCCTGGACCCCGTGGGGGGTCCTCTCACCCATCCCAGAACCTCACCTGCTTCTTGCACCTGCTTCACGGCCCTGGTGATCTCAGCTTTAAGTGCTTCAGTCTCATCTGCTGTCACCGCGGCCGCCACGGGGACCACTGCAGGGGGAGGAAGAGCAGGGAAAGGTGAAGCATCAGCGACTCCCCCCGGCAGAGAGATGGAGGGTTTCAAGCTGTGATGGGGACATGGGGCAGGGCAGGATCTGGCCCATCATGGTTTTGGAGCTGGGTCCAGTTCGGTCATATTTTTTCCCAGCCCTCCCCCTGCCAGGCAGGGCCCCCTCGAGCCACCAGGTTCCTCTATGGGGTCGGGTTCCCGCAGGGCAGGTGATGCCCAGTGCTCACCCGTGAGCTGCGTGACCGCAGTAGTTGCCAGCGCCTCGGTGGCCAGCGTCACCATGTCCTCCGAGGCCACCGTGACGATGTTCACCTCGTCGCCCTCCTCAGGCTCCAGGATCTTGATGCCGGCCTTGCCCTGGTGCACCGTCTTCACGTGGGAGCGCAGATTGTCCACGCGGTTGAAGCCACGGCCGCACTTGTCACACAGGAAGGGCTTCTCCCCTGGGGCAGGAAAGGCAGCGGTCAGGAGAGGTGACAGGACGGGGAGGCAGCAGCGAGCGCTGCAGCGCAGGGCAGGAGCCCTGGACCCACCGGTGTGGATGATGATGTGCTTGGAGAGGTCGCCCACGTTGACGAAGGCCTTGTTGCACACCGTGCACTTGTGAGGCCGGATGTTGTCGTGGTGGCGGATGTGGTTGGCGAGCTGGCTCGACTGCACGAACCTGGCGTGGAGATGAGGGGACGGTGGGGAACGTCACGCGACTCCCACCCCAACGGGACGGTCCAGCACCCAGCGCCCATGAGAGAGCCAAAGAGGACGGAGCTGAGGGGCCTGATGGCATCCCAGCCGCACGGGCAAGGTGATGCGGGGACACTCACCTCTTGCCACAGCGTTCGCACACGTAGGGCTTCTCGCCCGTGTGCTGGCGCACGTGGGCGATGAGGGAGCTCGCCTGGGTGAAGGCCTTGCCGCAGAGGCGGCACTGGCACGGCTTCTCCCCTGGGGAGAGAGCAGGGCAGCTGAGCCGGGCCAGCGGGAGCAGGAGCACCCCCGGAGCGCCCGGTCCGCACGGCCCCCTGCGCCTACCCGTGTGGATGCGGACGTGACGCTGCAGCGCCCCAGGGTCAGGAAACTGCCGCCGACACACACGTAGGGCTTCTCGCCGCTGTGGATCCGCAGGTGCCGCTTGAGGTTGCCTGCGAGTGGCCACACGTGAGGGAGGGGTCAGGGGCCTGTGTCGCCTTCCCCAAGCGCCACTCGCCCTCCCCTCCTGCCATCAGCCCTGCAGTCACATCTGTCCCCCCAACACCTCCAAGCCCGGCCTTGGGCACCTGCCAGCGACACAAGTCAGAACAAACGGGCAGTTTTTGGGGCAAACACCAAGTTTCTACTGCAGCGTTGAACTTTAAAAGCTCTTCTTCTGCCTTGGCGGCCGCCGGGGGCAGCCTGGATGCCCCAGGGATGGACATGGGGCTGGCGCTCAGACCTTGTCACCCACCAAGGGCTACCTGAGGTTGTGAACTGCTTGCCGCACTCCCGGCACTTCAGGGGTCCGTCCGCGATGTGAATCTTCAAGTGCGCCTTCAAGTTCCCCACCTGGGGGCAAACAAGGACAGGCCGAGCTCGCCGCAACCCTCCACCACCTCCCTGCGGCGGCACCAGCGTCCGCGGCGCCTCCCGGCTCACCTGGTTGAATTTCTTGTCGCAGTGGGGGCACTTGTGCTCCTTGTCAGTGTCGTGGGTCTCCAGGTGCCGCATTTTGGAGGTGGGGTCGGAGAAGGAGCGCCCGCAGTAGTCGCACTGATAGGGCTTCTCCCCGCTGTGCACCAGCTGGGGCCCCCTGAGGT